GTAAGGCCAGGAGCCCCTACTAGCTTCTTGGTACTAGTAGCGATGCCCTTTGTTACTACCAAATCGACACGGCTCTTGGAGCTGACAGATCGAGGCGATGCCGGGTCAATGCGACATGGTTCCTTCGCCTCTCAGATGGAAGAGGTTGGCTCTTCGAGACGAAGGAGGGGGTTCGTGTGTCCGCTCTTCTTTTAGCCCGTTTTCTACTCCTACTACTACTACTTGATTAAGTAGAGACGACCTACTTAACTAAGGGCGACTAGTAAGCTGCTAGCTACTGCTGTAACGCAGGATAGCACTTCCACAATTCATGTGGTTCCTAGATTTTTAGGGTGATTGATGCATAGACTCCTGTTGAGAGGAAGACGCCTGTTTGAGGAAGAAGCATCACTTGATAAACCCACGGTGTTTGCAGGTCTTGACGGGTGATTCGTTCGGTCTTTGGGTGATTCTTTCATCGACAGTTGGACGTGTCGCTTCGACACAGGCTCTCATGACTCATGAGATCTTAGGAGGAAGCTTAGTCCAGGCTATGAAGCTTAGTATGGTAGGAGTAAGCTTCGCAGCTTTGCACTCCAGGGACGCTGTGCCCAGGTGAAAGGCCTTCACAAAAGTTGTGTGTTGCCTTGAGGACTCTCGCCGTGTCATGATGCAGCTTCATTGAGTCTTTTTTCGACACATGAGATTGGCTTCAACGCCGGAGTTGGCGTCCCAACAGGATTCATTTGCAAGCCCAAACAATTGTTCGAAATGAAATGTGTTCGCAGATCTGACGGGGTTGTAAGTTGTAAGTCAATCCAAGACCAACTCGGAGGTGTATTCCTCGCATGTTCACGAACATGAACTTACTGGTGTGCAAATGCATTTTGATAGAGCTGGTTGGAGGGGAGAGCACTTGAGACTAGGGTAGAAGCCGTGTCAACAAAGGACTTCTTGCCATATGCAAGAAACATCTATACACCATATCACCTGGCCTGGCACGTCCTGGCTCTCCAGAGGGTCAGAGATAGCGGTTGTGACGTGGAGGGGATGGTTTTTTTCGACAGAATGCAGTTGGACGCCTGATCGGATCGAAAACACATTGCGCTTGAGGCCCCAAAGCTGGGCAAAAGTGTTTTGACCTGACGCGCCTTGACGCGCCACGTTTGATACACAACCTTGAACGCACGTTTTCGTCCAACGTGTTAGATTTTTTAATATGGATTTCCCGTTTCCAAGTTTAGTTTGCAAAGTAAACACTAAACTCTGAACCTTCTGTTGTTTTTTTTATGAACGATGGAGTTTGGCGTGTCTTGACATCAGTTGCATGTACGACTCTTGTGTTTGATAGACCGTGTCTTTGCTGCAAAATGCGGCTGGACCGAGAGCGCTTTGGAAAAAATCCTGGCGATGGTGATGTTTGCACACCAAAAGTTGACCATGCTGGAACTTCTGGTCCGGGTTTGCTGCCCCGAGGGGTCTGACATCAGATGGAGCAGACTCGAAGGGAATCATCTCTGTACAAGTGCCTTACTAGTAGTAACAAGAAGCTATTAACTTAAAATAAACTTAATAGCTTCTTGTTACTACTAGTAAGGCACCTGTTACTACTAGCGTGGCACTTGTTACTACTAGAATATTCTGAGATGTACAACGCAAAACGCCTTGGCGCTTGGAGACATGGAACGGAAAACAGAAACGCCACGGATCACACCTGCAACAGCCAGAGGCATGGTTGCAGTCGTACGCATGACGTTTTTGCAACTGCTTCGTTGTATGTTTACCTGATCGAGCTTGCATCTACTGAGCACTTGAAGGTGAACCTTTCTTGCTTGGAGGCAACCTTTCCTGTATTGCAGCAGACCTGCATTCCATTTGTCTGCTTCCGCTCCAGCTGGTTCTGCAGAGATCAGCAGACAACGAGTTGACAGTAACCATGGTTCGTACAAAAACAAAGAGTTGTAAGCACACGTAGATGCTTTCCACTGCACAGAGAGAAAGGTATAGAGAGACAGAGAGAGAGAGAGAGAGAGACACCGGAGAGTGTAAACATAGCTTCATGGGCACTCCTTAATATCAAAAAGAAATGGATGTTAAAGTGCTTTCCAGCAGTCGCACACACACATTTGGCAATCAGTTTTTAGATTTAAGGCTTGATGCTGTTGATGCCTCAACCAAATGCTTGTCGGGCACATTGAGACTTCCAATGCAAGACTCAGACATGGTCGGAGCGTGTGCTGAAGAGTGGCTACCTCTGGTTCGGGATGCGTGTTGCAAAGCTGTTCGCGAAGAGATAAGACTGCACCGTGATGCAGGGCTTCAGGCAATGAGACAGATTGTGAGAGAGGAGCTCGATCGAAGTGCCGACGAGGCCGGCGATTTGGACAGTGACTCGATCAGCGAAGGAGAGGAGGATGCTGAGGACGATTGGAAGCTGATCATTTGCGTCCGCCATGACCTTAAGATGTCCATTGGCAAAGTGGCAGCACAAGTGGGACATGCTGTGCATCATGCCGTGACGCATTCTTCATGGCGGGATGTGAAAGATTGGGAAAGGTCCGGATCCAAGAAAGTCACACTGAAAGTTGACAGTGAAGAGCAATTGTTTGAGATTGAGAGAAAGGCCAGGTCTCGAGGCTTGCTGGCGGAAAGCATCCAAGATGCAGGGCACACAGAGGTGGATCCTGGCACCACAACGGTCTTGGCGGTGGGTCCGACTTTGGCAAGGCATTTGGATGACGTTACAGGACATTTGAGGCCACTTCCTGACACAGTGCAGCAGCTCGAGGCCAAGAATAAGAAGTTGCTAGAGCGTGCTGAAAAGTTGCAGAAGGAGTTAGACGATGAGAAGAGAAAATATCGAAAGATGATTTCACAGGTTTATGCGTGTGCCAACGCGTATCGCTTAACCTTATAAAGGGACTTGTAGCGCGGCAAGTCTTCGGCACAAAAAAAGGCCAGGAGCCAATGCCTTTGTACAAATTGCTTAGTTAGTGCGATCTCACTGGCAAAAAAGATATCCGAGCTCTTGCGGCGTTTGTTGACAAGTGTATTAGTGTAATTCAACCCATTGAGAGTCTTTGGCCTCATGCGCGGCTTCCGATTCATTGGCTGCAGGGCTGAACAAATAAATCATGATGCCCAAACAACTTACAGCAGCATATCATAGGCACCTTGGAAATGCTGGAAACATGGACACCCACATCCAAAGCACTCATTCTAGATTCTATGTTGGACCCCAACATGCTTAGGCACAGCTTCTTGTTGGAGCCACCATCCATAGACCAAGACGTAAATCTCGGTGACTCGTTGACGTCGTGACTCGTTGCTCAGCCCTGTGCCATGCAGGGATCTGCCGATGGAGAAGATGCGCCTGTCGCAACGCTGCAAAAACAGCGCCCAGAAGCAAAGCAGAAAGAGAACCGGCGCCCAGAAGCCGGGGTCCAAGGAAGTGGAAGCTTGGCACGCCAAACACCTTAAGAAGAAAAAGAGTGATCTTCAAGGTATGTTTAAAGGGTTAGCACTAAGCCAGCACGCACCAGCTGGCTACGCCGGCATGCCCACTTGAACTTTCACGACAGGCATGCGCAGTTAATTAATACACCTTTTCGGCTTTCTTTGGTTTCCTCATGAGACACCGTCGAAAAAGCGATAACAGCGAGAACTTTGGAGTGTCAGAAAGCAACACGATGCTGACGATGTCAAGGCTAAGACAAGCATCACCAGCAACACAAACATTACATGTCCGTAGCTCATTTTGGTTCATCCTGGCTGTTCCCCTTCCCCACCTGGCGCGGCTAAGTCAAACGTCGGGTACCACTGACCTCAGGAAAGTTGAAATTCTGAGCTTTTGACCAGGGGAGAAAGGCACCGAACACCCTTGCACCGCGTAGTTCTGTGCGCCAGTCGGCCCAAATTCAGCCGCAAGCTATGAAACGTTGATTCTGAACATTTGGCACAAGACTTCGAAACCTAGTTCTGGGTGAGGCACTTGGACCCCAGTTGAGATCCCTTGACTTGTCGGCATTGTTGGGGGTCAAATCAATGCTTAGCATTGCGTTCTGTAATGTCGTTTTTTATGAGTTGAAATCTATTTGCGAAAGCCAGCCGATAGGCCCGGAATTTCTGTTTGGGCGAACAAAGTAAGTCTTAGGGGTTTGTGTGAGGGATAGGTCAAAAGTGACACGTTGTGGAAGGGTGAATCCAGAGCCTGCTGGGAGAGAGTGGCAAAGAATGGGTTGGCAAATTGTTGCGTTATGACGGTCTTGGTGATGTGAGTGATGCCGCCATAGTTGCTAACATTTTTTGCATAACCGTTGGGCATGACTGCAAAACAGGAGTGCTTTGGCAAATTTGTCGGTTCGAGCACGATTATATATTGTGATTTACAGTATTTTCGTTTTAGCTTGTGGAGCCAAGCTGTGCGTGAAGTTGAGCCGTGCGTGAAATGAAAGAGATTGTGACTTATATACAGAGATCTAATTGCGGAGAGTCCAAGAAGCCCTTAAGCCGCCTTGCATTGATGCCCTCTGAGTAAGTGGGTGCTAGGCACCAAGGTTCCGTGTCGGGGCAAAGAACGGATACTTCGGAAGAGCGGGTTCCGGCGAGAAGGCCCCTGAGAAAGCGGGATGCGGCAGCAATGACTTGTCGATGCAGGTATGTAAAGACATTCTTATCTAAAGAGACCAGGTGCAGAGAGCCGAAGAAAAGCCCTGAAGCCGTACTTCTGGGTTTTGTTTGCAGGCTGTTTTGGGGCAGAAAAGGGCACTTCTGGGCATTTCCGAAAAGCAGGATCTAGCGATAAGACCCTGGACAAAGCAGGGCATGCCGGATGCACCTTGGAGTGTTAAGGACGGCTGGCTTTCGCCCCCTCACTTCTCAGGTTTGGATGGTTTTGGTCAATTACATGAAATACGTGCTGCAGTCAGGTTCCACTGGCAGCAAGAAAGCCACCGCCAGCCGTGGATGATGCCTGGTGGCCAAGACATTCTTCTGGCAAAACATGTTTTGCTTTTCATACCGTACTCCCAACGCCTGAAGAATCTGACCTGGCTTGCTTGGCTTTGGCAGCTTTTCAGGCTGGCAGGTCAATTGATGTCGTGTGCAGTGGATTGGCTTGGTTTTTATTTCAAAGAGCCACGCAAAGTCTCAGCGACCATTGAAAGATTGGTTCCATTGTCTCCTTCTTCGGTGCGTGCCAGTGCCTGTTTGAACCCGCGCCTCAGAACATGAGTTTAGCTGCCCTTCAGACGTTGGACACGAAGAAGCAGTCCAAGGCATGGATTCTGGGATGAGCTTACGAAATGATGTTCGTGTATTCAACATGGGGTTGAATGTGCGACAGACCAGATTGATCCGGTCGTACACCAAAGTAGCTGCCTGGATTTAGCCGCCTCTGCAAGAACATCTATGGTTAATTCTTACCAGAGAAAACTTTAGCAGTACCAGAGGAGTTGGTGTGCACGTCTTCATTTGCTGTAAATGGGAATCTGTTTGCAATTAAGTCAATGCAGCTCGGCTAGGTTAAATGAACTCTTCCCTGCTGTTGTTGTTTCTTTATGGTCAAGATGTGCAGGGCGCTGAAGCCAACGGCAGTTCTCCAGGACTGCTT